GAGGCTGCCCATGGCTCCTAATCCTGCAGTGTGTGACACATGAACTTCTCCAACATGGCTGCTTACTCCAGTGAGAAAGAAGAATTTCTGCTGAGTGTTAGCAAGATGGAGCCTTTGTAATGGAACAGAGTCACAGTAGAGACAGCCCGACACTTCACCACACTCTGTGGGTTAGAAGCAAGCTGTGGATCTCGTCCACATGGAGGAAGAGGGGATGATACAAGATGTGTTATGAATGCCAGCAGGTGAGATATTCCATAGTGACACCTCGCTGCTCCACTTCCATGATTCAATCAAGCTAGATAGGTTTAACCTGGGCTCCTGAAAGGAAAGGAAAGAAGGAAGAAGAAAAAAGGAGGGGAGGGAGCAAGAAAAGACAGACTCTTTTCTGGGGGGAGGTGGCGGCTGGTGTGGAATGCTTTGGACAAACATGTAAACTACGTTCCTTGTTCCTGATTTTGGATACTGTCAAAAGGAGCAATGTAGTCCTTTTCTTGGCAAAAATGCCTTCGGTTCTATATAGGAAGGTATGAAATTGAAGTTGTAGGTGTCCCAGCCAATCTGATAAGACTTACTGAGTTCACAGATGCTAATAGGCACCTTTAAAACAGAACGATTATCATTATGATTTCTGCATAATGTACCTGGTGTAGGAAACTGCCTACCAATCCATGTTTTTTTAAATAATTGATTTTCCCATCAAATATGGGTTTTCTTATCAACAGTCATTTCCTGCATGCTCATTCTGCGTACATTCAATCTAAAGCTCCAATGAACTCTTAGAACACGGCAACTCCTAAATAAATGTTCCGTGAACCAGCAGGGGTAGGTATTTTTCTTCAAGGGTGAATGAGTGAGCAGGTGAATTAGGAAGGAGACGAGGAGGGAAGGTGAAGGCAGGGGTGGGGGTGGAAGTTATACCACTCTTCTGATACAGTTGATAGAATTCAGGGTTTCACATCCTTTGTACTATTGGTATTTGGTGCCAGCCCACCCTTTGTGGTGGGGGTGGCCCTGTGCACTGTAGGACATCCAGCAGCTTCCATAGCTTCTACCCACTTCCTGCCAGTAGCCCCTCACAGCCTCTGGGAAGGCCACACAGTTTCTCCTGGATGAGACCCAGACAAAATTCTAACACAAAGCAAATAACATTGATTTTGTAGGTGGCTTGAGTTGCTTTATCTACATCAGTGTATAACTGTTTAGACTTGTAAAAATAATGGAAGCATCTCCTAGAATATTACCTCCCAGTGGGTGTCCATATAGCTGGTGAGGAACATGGACTTGGGAGTTTTGCAAGTGGACATTCTAGTATTTGAATCCTGAATCTGCCACTTGTCTGCTATGTGACTGGGAGAAATTTTTAAATATTGCTTCTGCTCTGGTCTCCTTATCTGAAAAATGGAAATAAGAATTCATGTAGGGGCCAGTGCAGCGGTACAATAGGTTAATCCTCCACCTGTGGTGCTGGCATCCCATATGGGCACCGGTTCTAGTCCCAGCTGCTCCTCTTCCAGTCCAGCTCTTTGCTGTGGCCCGGGAAGGCAGTGGAGGATGGCCCAAGTGCTTGGGCCCCTGTACCCGCATGGGAGACCAGCAAGAAGCACCTGGCTCCTGTCTTCAGATTGGCACAGCTCCGGCTGTTGCGGCCATTTGGGGAGTGAACCAACAGAAGGAAGACCTTTCTCTGTCTCTCCCTCTCACTGTCTGTAACTCTACCTCTCAAATAAATAAATAAATAAAATCTTTAAAAAAAAAGAATTCATGTAGCTGTTGAGTGTGTGCATAATAAATGCAAAATACATACTATGTGCAAAAAGATAAATAGTGCATCAGCCATTTTTTGGTTATGTTTTTGGTTTTATTTAAAAAATTTTAAATTTTGTCATTTCTTTTTTAAAGATTTATTTACTTGAAAGGCAGAATGACAGAGAAAGATCAGGGGAGGGAGGGAGAGAGATCAATTCTCTATCCACTGGTTCACTCTTCAAGTGGCCACAACAATCATGTCTGGCCAGGCTGAAGCCAGGAGCCAGTGACTCCATCCAGGTCTCCCATTCAGGGAGGCAGGTGTCCATGTACTTGGGCCATTGTTTCCTGCCTTCCCAGGCACATTAACAGGAATCCTGATTGGAAGCAGGGACTTCAGACTTGAACCAGCTCTCTGATATGGGATGCAGGTGTTGCAAGTGGGAGGTTAACCTGCTGCTCCACAACACCAGGCCCTTTTTATATTAAACTATTTCAAATAATCTAGAAAAGTACAAAGTAGGCTTCAATGATCACATAGATATTTAACTTTTTTAAACATTTTTGCCATATTTGCCTCACATGTAAACTTATATATACACTCATATGTACTATTTTTTTAAAGCAGAGGAATATATATTAATATTTTACAATGTAGATCCATGGAAAAATTATAAAATAAGGAAAGTAAAAGTATACTATTATGTAAGAGGTATAATTTAGTGACAACAAAAATTTAAATATCTATGTAGCAAACAATAAGGCATTCACATATTTTCTCTCCATATACATAAGTATGAATTTTATATATATGTACAAATTTGTACCTATGAGAGAAAACATGTATCTTGCTTATTTCATTTAGCATAATGATATCCAATTCCATCCATTGTCACTAATGTCAGGATTTCATTCTTTTTTATGACTAATGTTCCATTGTGTATATACACCACATTTTCTTTATCCAATTGTCCATCAATGGACACCTCGACGGATTCCATATCTTATCTATTGTGAATTATGCTGTAATAAACATGGAAGTGTTGGTATCTCTTTTTATATGACTTTATTTACTTTGGACAAAGTGGGATAGCTGGGTCATAGGGTAGATCCATTTCTAGTTTTGAGGAATTGCCATACTGTCCTCCATAATGGCTGCACCAATTTTTATTCCCACCAAAAGTGTATTAAGGTTCTCTTTTCTCTACAACATTTGTTATTTTGGACTCTTTGGTAATAGCCACTCTAACTGGAGAGAGATGATACCCATTATGGTTTTTATTTGCATTTCCCTGATGGCTTGGGATCCTGAGCATTTTTCCATGTGTTTCTTGGCCATTTGTATTTTTCTTTTTTTGAAAAATTTTTACTTAGATTCTTCACCTATTTTTTTTAATCTGTACTGTCTGTTTTGCTGTTGTTGAGTTTCTTAAGCTCCTTATATATTCTGGATATCGATCCTTTATAGATGATAGTTTGCAAATATTTTCTCCCATTATGTTTGTCTCTTCACTCTGCTCAGAAGCTTCTTAGTTTGAGATAATCCTATCTATTTTTTTTCTTTTATTTCCTGTGCTTTTGGGGTCTTATCCAAAAATTGTTATCTTTGCCAATGTCTTGGGAGTGTTCTATTTAGATGTTTGCTATTTTTTTTATGCTTTTAAAATGTTTAGACTATTTTGGTTTGATCACTGTCTTCTGTTCCGTCCTCTTAGTTTCTGATCTTGTTGGGAGGGAAGAATGGGATCAGAGGGGTGCTACTTATGGGTTCAGTCACTGTGCTCAGGTGGGGAACACCGGTAGGTACTGGGACATTGGACAGTCCAGCTTAGAGGAGGAGAGCTCAATGTGGCACAGTAGATGCTCAGACGTCTTCGGTCATGGGGTGTTTCTCGGTGATACATTTCTAAGACGTCTTTCTTTTCCTCACAGGAGATCTTGCTTTCTTCTGGCTGCACAACACTTTTTTGGTGCCATTGATAGGAGTAGTTTCATGCAATGATCAATAAGCATATATACATTTTACGTATGCAGTGTGTGTGTGTGTGAATACTTACAATGGGCATTCACTGGAATGGTTTCCTTGCTTGTCAGAAACAGGTGTGGGCACAGTCATCGCTTGTTATCTTTGGGGAGTTTGCTGCAGGACCTCCATGGAAACACGCAGATGCTGAAGCCTCATGGATAAGATGGTGTATTTTAAATCATCTCTAGATTGTTTCTATTACCTAACACACTTTTAATAATTGTGAGGAATAATAATGAGGAAAAAATAATAATAATGAGGAAATAATGAGAAAACAAGCCTGTATGTGTTCAGTACAGACACCACCACTGCAGGCCGGACTCATTTTTGATCTGATTGGCTGACTCCATGATGCCACGTCTGTGAATGTGGAGGGCTGACAGTGTAGGCACCTGCACGTACACACATTTTATTGTGGTGAAATAACCTAAGCCTTTGTGTGTAACTGTTTTAAGTGTACAGTTCTGTGGCATGAAGCATATTCACTGTGTGCTGAAACCATCACCCATCTCTGAAAGTTTTCCACCTGTCCACACGGAAACTCTGCATCCACTAGGAAATAACTCGTCTCCCACCCCTAGCTTTTTGCAACCACTGTTATACTTCCTGCGGCTATCCATCCGACTACTCAAGAAACTTCAAAGAGGAGGAGTCAAGCAGTATGTATCTTTGCAACAGGCCTTCCTATTGGCTGTAAAAGAGGAGAGAATCAAACAAAATGTATGGAAACAAATGAGCTGGACATGCGAAGGAGGCTCCGATTCACCCAGCGTTTACACAAATCACCAGTTTCACAGCTGAAGACTGAGGGAGGGACGAGAACAACGAACCAGTAACACATCTCTCACCCTCACTCACACAACGTGGCAAGACCTTCCAGACCACGGGGGCGGGGAGAGACAGATGGGGGAGACACGGTTAACTCCACAGTTAGAGCGGGCGGCTGTGCGGGGAGCTGATCCCTGCTCCACCTCACCGCGGCGCGCTGGTCACGGCTCCTTTCCCGTGGAGCGTCGCAGAGCGACATAAAACACAAGGAACCCCAAATAATCACGAAAATCACATAGAAAAACCACCAGGGCTGCACGGACTGGTTTCGCCTAAGCACACCAAGGGGGTCATCGGCTGCGACTTGTTTTTTGCATTCGTCTCTACAGGACGTCAGAGTCCGGGCCGAAACACGCTCACTCCTCCCCGTCACAGGTCGCAGCCAGGGGCACCTCACCTTGCTGGCCTCCGCAGGCCGGGCCGCCATCTTCCGCGCTCTCAGACATGTCCGCCGTCCTCAGGGTCGGGGCAGTGGGGTTCCCGCCGCCAGACAGATGCGGCTGAGTGCGTGGAGGACAGGGGCACGCGTGTCTCCGCGTGCATGGCCCACGCGGAACCGGGGAGGGTGGCAGGGGGCTCCCGGGCCCGAGCAAGCGCAGGGGCCGCGGCCTCGGGCCAGGCGCAGCAGGATCGATTGCTTTGGCCTGCACAGGCTGCCTAGCTGCACCGGGCACGTGATCTCCGCGCACCCGGAAGCGGACCGTCCGTCCGGCTGTCCCATCTGGACCCTTGCGCGTGCGGCTTTATCAGCCGTGGTAGTGTGTGCGCGCTTGGCCGGCCCGTGACGGTAGCACAGGTGCGCAAAGCCTGGGCCGCGCTGGGCAGGGAGACCGGGGTCGGGGGTGGGCACCGTGCTCCAGGGGGCGGGCGGCGGGCTGCCCTCTCGAAGCCGGCGTCTGCGGCCAGGGAAGAAAGTGCGGTGTAAGAGTCGGCCCCGAGGGTGCTGGCGACAGCTTCAGGCCCGCGGTATGGGGGTCCTGGGCGGGGCGGGGGCACTGCAGGTCTCCCAGGACAAGTAGTGCCCGCTTGTTTGTGCTGAGTGCAGAGAGCGGCAAACTGACTACAAATACTACTACTAGTACTAGTACTACTACTATTACTAGTACTAATACTAGTACTACTATTACTACCACCAACAGCACACGCGCCACAGGGGAGAGCGCGGGAAGTCGGATGCAGGACGCCCAGGCCTGTCTTCCGGGCAGCAGGTGGCCTGAGGATGCCTGGACACTTGACCCGGAACCATTTCTGAAGTGGACAGAGTGGGGCGGCGCCCGGGGCTGAAGCTGGACTCTGCCTGCATTGGCGGGAGCCGTGGCCAACGTCCAGGACCAGGTGTGAGCTCCGGCCCTTGGCCGACGTGGACAGCAGGTTCGGGTGCTGTGCCCTGCTGGCCTGGGTGTGTGTGTGTGTGTGTGTGTGTGTGTATGTGTGCGCAGAGGGGGACGGAAGGGCGGGCCGGGCTGCGTGCAGCAGGGACCCTGGGCTCTGGGGGCCCGCGTACCCCGGAAACACCTGCTCTCTGGGGGTAGCCCCGGCCGGGCTCGGGCACCCGGCCCACGCCCATCTCCTTCCCGCCCGGGGCCCAGGCTCTCTTTCAGGCTCCGGGAGATGGCCACGTGGGTGCTGTTATGGTTCCCCGACACCAGGGTGTTGCTGCTCTGGGTGGAGGCGTTTCGCTGTCTTCCTCCCCACCCTGCTCGTCCTTATCACCGTCCCTGCCCTGGTGCTGGGTGCGCCTGGCGTCTTGGTGGGCTTGCTGGTGCCGAATGAGGTTTTGATTCAAGGTGAAGGTTCGCTCCCAGGTCTGACACTTGGACGATGCACGTGGGCATCTTCCTAGGTGTGTTATTTATATTCCAGTAAAGAATTTTGGGAGACTCTGGAACCTTCCCTGAATGGGTTGTATTTAACAGTGGCACTTCAGCCAACGCTAAGGAGGAGCTGGTTTTAGGCGGCGGCTGCCCCACAGCCCCGCGTACCCCACCATCCACAAGTACACAGGATGCCTGTTGGATGCCTGCATGGGGTCATTCCCAGATGTTCCAGGGTCTGAAAACTCCCCAGGAAGGCCCTGCTCATTCATCTTCGTGGTAAAGTGATATCCCGCCTACAAAGTGTGCTGAGGGGAGCGTGGCCAGCTGCCATCTCTTTAATATTTAGAAAGCTGCCTTCATACCTCCTTGCTCTTCCTGCATGTTTCTCTCTGCATTTGTGGTCTCCAGTTTTCTGGGAATTCAGTGGGATGGTTTCTTATCTGTTAGCTTGTCAGAAACAGGCGTGAGGACAATCAAATGTTCATCTATTCACATCTGGTGTTCTGCAGGGAACAGCGTTTAGACCCCTACCGTGTTTAACTGTATAAATGGTTTCTATCTATCATCTAAATCAGAACTGCTTATGTGCAGAGCACACTGCATTGGATCCACACAGGATCCGTGCTGGGGAGGGCGCCTGCTCTCTGGACCTCTGTGAACGCTGGGAACTTAGAAACCGTAGGCCCTTATCTTTTCATGAGGATTTCTAGTTGAAGTGTAGCTTGCAATCAATGCACCGTGGGGTGTGTGTGTGCGCGCGTGCGTCCATGCACATGTGCACACACACATATGTGTATCTTTAGGTGTGTGCATATCTGCGTCTTCGTTTCTTACTGTGCCTTTATGCATTGTGTACATTTGTGTCATAAGCAGTTCCCGCGTGTCTTTACGTGTTTCTCTGTGGACTTGCTATCGCATGGCCTGTTGCTGTCTGTCTGTCTCTCTGTTTAACTGTGATGTCTCTCTGTACGTCTTTGTGGTCCTCTATGCCAGCAGAGGTTTGTGTAATTGTGTTCGTGTGCCTCTGGTCATCTTGTTTATGGGTCTTCCTCTGCGTGTGGTTTTAGTGTGTGTGTGTGTGTATGTGTGTGTCTTATAAATGCTCCCCCTGTCCACATCACCTCCTTTTCTTCTGTGGCTGGAGGCAGACCATCCATCTTCAAGTCTGAGGAAAATTGCTGGCCTGGACCATGGCGGCAGGAGCCGGCTATCTCTGTGATGAGTCTGAGGCGTGGCTTGCAGGGCCTCTCGGGTCTGCCCTCACCCTCAGCTGTGCAGCTGTCTGCTGCAAAGCCTGCAGTGGAGAGGCATTGCCAGTGTTGGAATCAAGGGCTCCTTCTTTTCTGCTGCTCACAGGGTCTGCACACAACCCCTCCGTGGCCTCGCTCACTGCTCCCCACGAAGGAAGATGCTTGGAGATGGTGGGCGGGCCTAAGCAGTCCGTTCTCCTGCCAGCTCCCAGTAGCTCTTGTCTCGAAATGTCCTTGTTTGCAGGATAAGCAGCACTGTTGGCTCTGTTGACCAAGGGCTGTGATTTAGGTGTAGTTTGTTCCCCAAGGGTGCTTATGTAGGAAGGCTGGTCCCCAGGGTGGTGATGGTAAGAGGTGATGGAACGTTTCAAAGGTGAGGCCTGGTGGGAGGTCCTTAGGTAACGGGAGATCCTGCCTATAGAAGGAGGTAGGATAGCTCTCACGTGACTTCTGAGTTCTTACAAGAGTGAGTTGTTATAAAAGCCTTAGCCTGATCCCTGATTTACTCTCTGGCTTCCTGTCTTAAGGAATGGTCTCTTCCTCCCACGCGTGCTCCATCCTCCATGACACCTTCACCAGAGCCGAGTTGGTGCTGGTGCCGTGCCCTTGAACTATGAGCTAAGTAAACCGTTTTCCTTTGTGAAGTTAGCCTGTCTCAGGCATTTGATTATAGTCATGACAAATGTACTGATAACAAAGTTCCTCTCTTTGCCTTAACAAATGTTCTTCTCTTTGTCCTCTGCTATTCCCTGATTTTCCCCTCTGAGTTCTAGGAAGGGCTCAATCTTTCAGCCTTACCATGTCACCAGGAATCAAGAGGATGGTGACAACTTTGGCCCATACTGTCACCTGTCACCACTGTCATCCATCCACCACTTGGATTTACATGGTTTACTTTATGGAGCTCAAAGGCCTGGGGCTTTGCACGTATGACCTCCTTCAACGCGGAAGTTGGAATGATGACACAGGCATGTAAGTTGCATTTTCCCAGCAACAGGTGTTGACTGAACAATTGCAGCGAGTCTACACAATGCTAAGGCTTGTATGTCAGTTCAAGTTCTCAATATTCACCACAACTTTAGGCAGCCCATGTTATTGTATTCTTCTAGTAGACAGGAAAAAGGATATCAAGAGAGGTCAATCCATTTATATGAGCTCACACTGCTGGCAAGTAGTGAGGCTGGGGAAAGAACACAGACTCTGTAAACGTGTAGCCCAGTTTCTTCACCACCACGGACTGGAGATACTGGATCTGGCTAAGCCGCTGAGCCACGCAGGTCCTGTGTCCGTGACTGTCTTGGGACCAGTGACACTGAAGATGGCCTCATAGTTTTGGACAGTGCTTGGGCTACTGGCCCAGCAAATGCTTCCTGCCTAGAGGCTTCTCTGTTCTTCCAGATTGGCTGCTTTTCTTAACATTCGTGCCTACCCTGTTCTCCCAGTGGTTGCAAGAGCATTGATGTGAGGGCTGATGTCATGGTAAAGCCACCACCTGCTATGCAGGCATCCCATATGGGCACCGAATTGTGCCCCAACTGCTCTACTTCTGATCCAGCTCTCTGCTAATGGCCTAGGAAAAGCAGCAGAAGATGGCTCAAGTATTTGGGCCCATACCACCCGCGTGGGAGACCCAGATGAAGCTTCTGGCTTCTGGTTTTGGTCTGTCCCAGCCCTGGCCATTGCGGTCATCTAGGGAGTGAACCAGTAGATGGAAGATAACTCTCTCTCTGTCTCTCTCTTTCTCACTCTGACTTTCAAATATATAAATAAATCCTTTTAAAAAGAGAACAGTGGTGTGGGGTTGAGTTTGACTGGGGGAGTTAAGGAGATGTTAGTTAAAAGATGCAGGAGTTCATGTACACAGGAAGAATTTCAAGAGATTTATTGTGTATCCTGGTGACTGTTGTTAATAGCAACATGTTGTATTCTTGAAAATTGCTAAGAGATTAGATTTTTTTTTTTTTTTTGACAGGCAGAGTGGACAGTGAGAGAGAGAGACAGAGAGAAAGGTCTTCCTTTTGCCGTTGGTTCACCCTCCAATGGCCGCCGCTGCAGCCGGCGCACCGCGCTGATCCTGGCAGGAGCCAGGAGCCAGGTGCTTTTTCCTGGTCTCCCATGGGGTGCAGGGCCCAAGCACCTGGGCCATCCTCCACTGCACTCCCTGGCCATAGCAGAGAGCTGGCCTGGAAGAGGGGCGACCGGGACAGAATCCGGCGCCCCAACCGGGACTAGAACCCGGTGTGCCGGCGCCGCAAGGTGGAGGATTAGCCTATTGAGCCACGGCGCCGGCCCAAGAGATTAGATTTTTAGTGTTCTCATCACAAAATAATGTTAAGTATGTGAGGAGAGTCATATGTGAGTTCACTCTTTGTAGCCATTCCATAATGCATAGTGTTTCAAAATATTGTGCACACCAGAAATAAATACAATTTTTATTTGTCAATTAAAAACCGTGAAAAAAGAACATCAGTGTCAACTTTAACTCCTCTCCTTTTCTGCAGCCTCCCATGTGATGTGTGACTGGCTCCAGCCAACTCCTATCTTCTGAACACATTAAACATATCCCAAAGCCAGCCATGTCTCTCCACTGCTGCTGTCCTGCTGCAGGCCCTGGCGCCTGTCTGGACATGCCACAGCCGCCTAACTCATCTTGCTGCACTGCAGTTACCTGTGTTGTCCATTCTGCTTGCAGCAGCTGCAGTGACTGTGGTCAGTCTCTCTGATCATGTGTCTCGTCTCCAGACCTGCGATAGGTTCCCATCTACCTCAGAATAAAAGCCAGACTCCTTCCTGTGAGACCCAAATGATGCGATGCACTGTCAGCTCATCACCCACTGCTCGCTCCCTTCATCACTCCATCTACACTGACCTCATTTACTCTCAGTCATGCGTGGAACACAAACATGCTCTGAGGCCAGCCCTTCTGTGGCCTGGGATGCATTCCCTACACTCACCTGGCCTGCTCCCACCTCACTTCCTTTGGCCAGCTCGGTAGCAACCCTCTCAGGTAAGCCCTTCCTCCATCCCTAAAACTTCACCTGCTCGTCACCAGTTCATGGCATACTACTTCACCATTTTCCTTAACACCCATCACCTAATTTTGTATCTATGTGTATCTCTCTCTCTCTATATATATATGTTTGTATATATATTATATTTAAGTATACATATGTATAAGTATGTGTGTATACACACACACACACACACACAACACAGATGTATGTTTATTTTCTATCTCCCTGCTAGCAGGAGCACAGAGATCATGGTGTGTTGATTCTTGCTATGTAACAACACATAGTAAACTCTTGGTTTATATCTGCTGAATGTTGACAACACATGCATGAAATACAAAGTTCAAAAGGCACAGAGCAAAAATGTCCATTCCTTTATTTTTTTTAACTTTTATTTAATGAATATAAATTTCCAAAGTACAGCTTATGGATTACAATGGCTCCCCCCTCCCATAACTTCCCTCCCACTGCAACCCTCCCCTTTCCCGCTCTCTCTCCCCTTCCATTCTTATCAAGATTCATTTTCAATTTTCTTTATATACAGAAGATCAGTTTAGTATACATTAAGTAAATATTTCAACAGTTTGCACCCACAAAATACTGTTTGAGTACTCGTTATAGCATTAAGTCTCAATGTACAGCACGCTAAGGACAGAGATCCTACATGAGGAGTAAGTGCACAGTGACTCCTGTTGTTGACTTTACAAATTGACACTCCTGTTTATGGCATCAGTAATCTCCCTATGCTCCAGTCATGAGTTTCCAAGGCTATGGAAGCCTTTTGAGTTCACCGACTCTTATCTTATTTAGACAAAGTCATAGTCAAAGTGGAAGTTCTCTCCTCCCTTCAGAGAAAGGTACCTCCTTCTTTGAAGACCTGTTCTTTCCACTGGGATCTCTCTCATTTAGGTGTGTTTGTTTGTTTGTTTGTTTGTTTTTGCCAGAATGTCTTGGCTTTCCATGCCTGAAATACTCTCATGGGCTTTTCAGCCGGATCCGAATGACTTTAGGGCTGATTCTGAGGCCAGAGTGCTGTTTAGGACATCTGCCATTCTATGAGTCTGCTGTGTATCTCACTTCCCATGTTGGATTGCTCTGCCCTTTATTTATTCTATCGGTTAGTATTAGCAGGCACTAGACTTGTTTATGTGATCCCTTTGACTCTTAGTCCTTTCATTATGATCAATTGTGAACAGAAATTGATCACTTTGTCCATTCCTTTAGCCATGCGTCTTCGCTGCCTTGAAGCAGGGCTGTTGCTGGTTTTCCTGTATTTTCTAGAAATGTTCTATACATACACATTTAAGTCTGCATCTGTATCCATACCTGCAGCAGTGTCACACACAGGTTGTTTTTGATCTTTCTTCCTTTACTTGGTCTCTTGGCAATCCTTTTTCATCAGACATGGAGAACGGCTTCGATCTTTTTAACGTTGGCTTATTATGTAATTGTAGAAACAAGCACATACTGTTGCATCAGTCCCCTGTTGATGAATTTCTGGGCAGCTCCCAGTATTTTGCTCTCACAGCCATGACTGTAATAAATAAAGCAATGCTTGCATCATTTCTCACAAATGCAAGTGTCTGTGGATGGATTCCTAGAAGTGGAATTGTGTTGGATTACTTTTTAAAAAAATCAATGCTTGGCAAGTTCAGCTTTCTTGAGAGAGGTATTCATGGCAGTGCTGATCCAGGGGGTAATGGTGCTACTGTGTCTCATTATGTCAGAATTAAAAATCGACTCATTATGTAGTTAATGGAGACTTGCAATGATTGCTAAAAAGAAAGCTCAGCCCCTCCCACAGATACCATGAGTCTCAGAGGTCGTAAATGGCAGAGCTTCAAGAGATGATTTTCAGGGAATAGCAGAAGACCTAATTTCCTTTAAAAACAGCCTGAAGGTGAGGCCTTAACTTCTTCACTACCACCGTCTGTAAGTTGGATTTTGCCTGTTGTCTCACCAGAGATTATTTTCTCTCTTCTTTTTTTTTTTTTAAATTTTTAAAATTTATTTGACAGGTAGAGTCATAGATAGTGAGAGAGAGACAGAGAAAGGTCTTCCTTCCGTTGGTTCACTCCCCAAATGGCCGCCACGGCCGGCGCTGCACCAATCTGAAGCAAGGAGCCAAGTGCTTCTTCCTGGTCTTCCACGCGGGTACAGGGGCCCAACGACTTGGGCCATCCTCCACTGCCCTCCCGGGCCACAGCAGAGAGCTGGACTGGAAGAGGAACAACCGGGACTAGAATCCGGCACCCATATGGGATGCCAGCACCACAGGCGGAGGATTAACCAAGTGAGCCACAGTACTGGCCCTATTTTCTCTCTTTGTATGCAGTTGGACTTGGTGATGATGTGTGGACCTAATAGAGCTTGTTCTACAGCAAAAGGCTGAGCAGAGAAAGGGGAACCCCAGAGTAGCTGCCATGTTATGCTTGGTGTGATTTTCTGGATGTGACGGTTTTTCTTTCTGCAGCAAAGGGATAGGAGTACTCGCCTGCACAGGACTGTCCTGGGCATTTTCTATGCATTTATTTAAAAATACTTACTACATAGCACCCAGGTGTAAGGGTCCTCTAGGCTCTGGGAGTGCGGACTTGACCAGCATTCACGACATGGGTATTCTTGGTACTGTATCTGCCACAGAGCAGGACCTCCATCTGTGGAGGCGTTTGGAAGTCGCCATCCTCGGAGGGCCATGGGCACTTGTTCTGTGTGGGTGAGTTGGAGTGCAGGGGGCATAGCTGAGTGTGCCCTGGGGGGTGAGGTTTTCAGGAAGGGAAGGTGGTTGAGTGCAGGGAGTTTTCCAGGAGAGGACACAGTGTGGGAAAGGCGAGAGGTGGGGGAGGATCGGGGTGTCTGCAGCACTGAGGATCCTGGCCCCCGTCCCCAGCGGGCCAGCTTCCTGCCCTGCTGTCACACTGGCTCCCAGACTCTCCTCTGCCCCTCACCAGGTGAATTACAGACTGTGTGGCTCTCAAACTATGTGGTTTCTCTCCTTGCTGTGACCTCAGCTGGAGCAGGTCTGACTCATTGCTCTCCACATCCTACTGCTGAGCTTCCTTCCACACAGAGCCCACGCACTTCCTCCAATCCTTTGCACTCTGTGACCTGAATATTTTAGCAAAATGCCCACCGTAGGCCGACTTTGGCTCATGTGTGTTCTTTGTCTTTGCTGATGTTTTTTAATCATTCTCTTTTGACTTGATGAATGAGTCTTGGCTTCTCACAACTTTCCTGAAGACCCAGGGTAAAAAAAACATCCTTTCCGGTAGCTATAGCAGTTGTGAGGGAAAAAATGAGCCTCCTCGATAGTCAATAAATCACTTTGTCACCTTAATCTTTTATTGATCTCAATAAAAGTTGTATTTTGTTTCTTAACAAAAATCCACCAGGGAAGACATCCCATACAGGTGGGGTACAATGAAAGTAGCAGTCAGGCCATCACCTCCTATGGTTATTTATGGGAGAGCAATGGATTTGGAGGGGCAGAGAGGGGGGCAAGAGGCTAAGAAACCATTCTCGCAAGTGATGCATCATATTTTAAAAGACACACTTGACTCCAGGTAGACCACTCACAGACGAGACTCTGCCGCTGTATTTTATGCAGACTTTTGTAAACAGGTCATAAACATCTTGCTTCTCCAAGCCAGGGAAGCCGAAGCTCTCTGCTGCTTGCCCATAGTGCATCTGTGCAGTTGGTCAAATTTAGAACGTGGCCATCACCGGAGTCCAAGCCAGCTCTCTCTCTAGGGGAGGGTTATCAAGGTCGGTTACTCACAGAGGAAGGGGGAACATTTTGTCAGGTCTTGGAATCAAACTTTTGTTAAGGTTTGGAATAAATAGATTTTCCCCTCTGTAGAGATGTAAAGAAAGCCCAATAAAAAGTGGCCTTCCCTGTTAATGTTTGTGTCTTGTTCATATCCCTCCAGGGAGAAGCAAAGGGAGGGTTTGGTGATTTGGGTTAAAGTAAGAGAAAGTCGTAAGCCAGAGCAGTGCCTACACACAATGCTTTTCTCTCTTGCCTGTTATCTGTGTGACTCAGTTCTGTTGTTTGTACCAGGGCTTTTTCTGCAGGGCACTAGGGTTTCCATTTTCTCCCTGGGTTCTGAGAGTTTGATGGCATAGTGTCACCACAGTATGAGTGTGAGTCAGGCAAGGTGTCTGGCTTCAAGGAGCTTCCATTCCTGGGTAAAACAAGATGTGATGGAAGCATAAAGCTTGGGGCCTACCAGGTACCCAACGCTTGGAGGCTGAAATGTGTTTCCATTTTCTTCATTGGATTGATGGCTGTCATAGCACCTCTGGGCTCAAAAATTATGTGTGTGTATGTGTGTGTGGCAATGAGGTCCCTGTCGGAGCCACCTCCTGAAGAGATTAATGCAGCTGTCATGGGATCCATGTACCAATACACTTTCTCTTTAAGGAAAGACAGGAAGCAAGTGATTTCCAAAGAAGGATTTTGGTATAGCTGTTTAGTAATAACTAACATAAAATGAGTGCTATCACTGGGCAGTCACCATAGGATTCTGTAAATAGCAGGCATCATTTATTGTGTGTTTTTTTGTGTGTGTGCAAAGAATTTACCTAAGAGCTTTTCATGTGTTCATCTTGAAATCTTCCTAAAAACCCTTGGTTGTAGGTTCAGCTGTCATCCCTATTTTACTGTGGCACTAAGAGGCTGGGGAGCAGTGCCCAAAGTCTCCCCCCAGTGAGAGTCCAGATCCATGGTCCGTGCTGTATTATTCACACTCTGTGATCCTCATTCTTCCTGAGGTCGCCTCTTGCTAGAGTGA